GGGGGGGGGGGGGGGGGGGGGGGGGGGGGGGGGGGGGGGGGGGGGGGGGGGGGGGGGGGGGGGCGTTGTCGAACCTGCTGCTGATGCGCCCCTTCCGGGAGGACGGAGGTCCGTTCCTGCTTGCCGGGAGAGGGGGAGACGACGAAGCCCTCCTCTGCTCCGGATAAGGGCTCTCGGCGTCATGTCGTCCACGACCGTCATCCCCACGGCCACGGGAGTGATGCCGCCGTTTCCTGGGCGGAGACCTACTGCCGCCGCCGCCGCCGCCGCCCCCATCGCTTTCTTGACGGTCGTGGCGTCCCCGCCTCCGTCCCGAGCGACTGCCGCCTCGGCCGGGGCTCCCGCTCTCCCCCCGCCGGCGATCGCCACCGCCGCCGCTGCCGCTGTCCCTGCCACGCTCCCCGCTTCTGTGACGCCGCGGCGGCGGTGACGACGGCGACCGGCTTCTTCTGCTCCTCCTCCGGCGCTGCGGGCTTGGGCTGTTGCTACCGCCCCGCCCTCTCCGCCAGCCACCGTCCCTCTGACGTTGCGGTGAAGACCGCGACCGGCTCCTTGTCGTCCTTCTGTTGCCGTTGCCGTGGCCGTTGCGCCGTGGGCTTGGGCTGATGCTCTGCGTCGGGGGCGGTGCCGGCGGGGGCGAGATCTCCACGCGGACGGACCTCACGGACCTGTGTCCGGCGCTGGCACTGCGGCTGCGGCTCCGGCGGGCGCGGTCGTAGGACGTCGTCTCCCGCCGGCTTTTTTTGCTCTTCCGGCCGCCGCCGCCGCCACCCCCGCGGCGGCGTTCGTCGTCCTCGTGGCTGTCACGCCGGCGGCGACTTGGGGGGCTTGCAACCGGACTGAGACGACCACCGCCCCCCCTGTCCCTTCGGCCACCGGGGCTGACACTGTCTCTTTCCGTGCCCCGAGAGCGCCGCCTCTCCTGTCTGCCGTCCCTGCCGCCGCCGCCGCCGTCCCCGCTACTGCGGTTTCTCGCGATGGGTGACCGGCTACGGCTGCCTGTGGTCTTGCCTTGCCTGGAGCGCCGGGCGGCCGCGGCGGCGACGGCGGCGGCGCGGAGGGGAGACTCTCGCTGGTGGCGCATGTTGTGAGAAGACCCGTTGGTAGGCGCCGTCTCCTGCTCTTCGCTGCCCCCTGAGCTACGCCGGCGAGGGGACCTGTCATTGTCGTGGACTTGGTGCCTCTTGCCGCCAGCGTTGTTGGAGGATATGGTTCTCGTGTCCTTAGCGCTGTCAATGCTGCTGCTGCTGCTGCTCCCGCGGGTCCGTGACTTCCTCTTCCGTTCTGCGGCGTTTCCCCGCTTACCCTTGGCGTCTGCTGCTGGTGCCCGTGCGCGCTTCGTCGCGTTCTTGTCTCCGCGTTCGCTCATGCTCGTACCAGTCCCCTCGTCGCCGCCGCTGCTGCTGCTGCTGCTGCTGCTGCTGCTACTGCTGCTACTGCTGCTGCTGCTGCTGCTGCTGCTGCTGCTGCTGCTACTGCTGCTACTGGAGACGCTTGAAGCTCGCCTGTTGGGTTAAGGCGGTGGTGTGCAAGCGCGCGAACGACTCAAGGCCTTAGATTTCACCGAGAAAACACCCTGGTTCGGATTCCGACTGCCGCATACTCCGCAGCTTTGTACCGCTTGCAGAACGGACCACAATACTGACCTAAGGAACCAAGTTCGCATGTAATTCAAATTGTTGATTGTAGCGCCACATCCACTGGCGCAGGAGCTCACCCGACCAAATACAGGTGCAGTTTGGCACCATAGTTCCTGTGAAATGCGACATTCTTAACCTTCTCTTTCCACCAATCTCTCCCACGAAAAAATGAGGTGCTAAATAAGGTGTACACATGTGTGCGGATAAGTAAACACACATTTGTGCGGATAAGTAACAGCAGTGGTCTCTCGCACAACAACGGCAGCAGAGGTCAAAACAACCGCGTGGAGTTGGGAGTTAACGCGTTGAAGCTAGATCTGACCATTGTTTGGTTAGAGGGGGCATCCACTAAATAGACCAGGGGCTACTTTGGTCTGTAGGAGATAGGCAGCCCCTCCATCCGAGCAACACAAAGGATTCCGATATGTCAACAGCCGCGACACAAAGGAGTTGATCAACGGGATATGAAGACCGCTACACCTGGCTTTTGAGGAGGTTCGATCCAGGCCCTCTTCGGGGAATAGATGCCAATGCGCTGTTGCTGCGAACAAGACAAGTGACTCTGATACAAGTAAAGGAGAACATGGATGCCGTTTCTATTGCTCGGTTCCCAGTTTGTCGGGTGCGGAAGAAGGGCACGCATCATAGTGGGATTCGAAGTTGCACAAGGTTGAGAGAGGCTATCCACTAGACCAAGGTAGTCAGCCGAGCGTAGGAGCTGCCAGCTTCGTGCAGATATTGCTGAGCGTTGCAAGGCGGACGGCGCTCTTCATCTACACTGGTGTTGGAGGGCATGAGGCAGTGGACGGGACCTGGGTTGCCATACATCTGGGGAGATCATCGCATCCGACCACTTGAGATGGTGGTCATGGAACACGCAAAACCAAGTGGTGTTTGGGAGTCATCGCAGTTCGCCTGACAGGACGATCTCCCCAGATGTGAGGCGCATCTCAGGCCCGGGTCAAATCCCTCACGGTCTAAAACAGCAGTGTAGAGGGAGAGTGCCCTCCGCTTTGCAATCAAGAATCGCGCAAAACTGCCTGATCCTATGCATACGCCCTTCTACTCTGTTCTGCAGCGGTTGTAGACAGCCCCCTCCGTCCCTTCAAACCTAAACAAGAAAAAAGGGCATGAAACAGTCCACCCGGGGACCTAAGCCTGTCTCCCATCTGGGGACATGAGCGAGTCCCACCAACGCGATGGTGCCCAATGACCGCTCAGAGTGGCCATTAAGCGGCATCGACATGATGGCACTCAACCATCTCTGCAGATATGAGGCACAGCTCAGGTTCTGGGTTGACTGCCTCATGCCCTCTAATCTCACACCATTATGGAGGAATAGTACCGTCCGCTTTGCAACGGATAAAAGTAAAAGCAATACCCGCACGGAATAGGCAGATCCTACGCCTGGCTGACTGCTATACTGCAGCGGTTGTACATAGCCCCCCATCGTCCCTTCTAACCTACAGGAGTTATATAGGATATGAGGCAGTTGAACCGGGACCTAAACCTGCTTCATATCTGTGGGGAGATGAGCGAGTCCTACCAATGCGATGGCACCCAAGGGCCGCTCGGAGTGCCCCATTGAGCGCCATCGATTTGATGGCAATCGTTCATCTCCCCAGATGTGAGGCGCAGCCCAGGTTCTGGGTCGACTGCCTCATGCCTCATGCCCTCTAATGTAACACCTGTGCAGAGAACGAGCATCGTCTGCTGTGCCACGTCCGAGCAATATCCGCACGAATTGGCAGAGATCCGATGCCTGGCGGACAATGGATGTAACTGCAGATAGCCAGCCCTCCCCCCGCTACCCAGGGAAGCAGTCTGACCCATCTGCCGGGAGACGTGAAACTGCTGAACCGGTGAACGCTATAAATCCGTGTCTGGCGGTGAACAAGTACGTACGTACCTGCGACGACTCAGGGTCAGAGCTTCTTCGCTGGAGCCGCGACGACAGATATACACCCCGCTACATAGCATGGCACCAACAACGGGAGTAGGAAGAGGGGGAACATGCCCGCCTGTCCGCCGCAACAGGCTACAGGCGTGTATCTGATTCGCGCTTGCTTTCACTCACCCTCGATCTTGACCGCCACCGCCACGGATACCTTCTCGGACGTCCTTGCCCTCTGATGCTGGTCGTTCCCGGCCAGACCTTCCCCTGCTACCCCTGCCACTCCGAAGGCGATCATGGTCTTCTTCGGGGGCGGGGGTGCGACGGCCGGTTGTGTTGTTGTTTCTGGCAGAACCACCGTCGCCGCGAGTGCTGTTTCTATCGGTCCTCGCCATGGCTAACGATTGCAAACCCGCAACCTTCTGAAAGGGCAAAGGGTCTTGCGCTTATCTAGACCTGGTTCGAGGCCCAGCGATCCGCGCAATTCGCGGCTTACCGCTAGTGGGAGGTATGCTTCATTCACCCGCGGACAAGGACTCGCCAAACGGGGCCGCAAACCAGGAACTATTGGGACTGCGGGGGTTGTCTTCCCAAGGGGTGCCGTGTATCAACATGACAGAGACAGCGGATGCTGCTCGGTCAGTGAGTGGGGCTGGGCTACACACATCAACTGCAGGCAAGCCGAGAGAGAGGTGTGAAAGGCGGGACTCACGCAATTGCTCACCATGTCAAGCCCCGGGTCGAGCACAACGAGGAGGGAAGGAGACGGGTGGACCATGGTCGACACCTGCGTTTCCGAGGTGTGATGACAAAGGCATTTGATTTTTTGGGGAATAGACTATTATAATTATAGGTCTAGAGGATGGGGCGTCCTCGCCGCCGCCCGATGCGGCGGACAGCAAGAATAGGCGTCACAGCAGTAGCAGCTGTTGGAAATAAAAGGAGATAACAGCCAGTAGATGGACGTCCTTCCACCCACAACAGCCATGAGTGCGGGTGCTGGGGCCGCCCGCTGTTGGCCTGTTCCACACGAAGAAATGAGAAAATCCCGAAACTTGGACTTCAACAACAAGTGTCTCCGCGAACCGCTCTGCCGCTCTGCCTGTGCTGTGGTACAAATTTTGGGCTGCGTGTGTCTCGCGTCTCGTTGGAGCTCGTGTAGGGATATCGACGACGTTGCCTCTCTAGTATTACGCCCACGAGGTGCCGAGCTGTCTACATGTGGCAATCTCACTACGTACGTGGGTCGTCAGTTTTATTTTGCGATGTGACGAGGCCCTTGAGAAAACCCCGCACCGAAACGATGAGCCCGTTTCAAAACTGGTGCCATAAACCACTCGACCACTTAACCTAACTACTTCCTAAAAGACCATGATAGGTACCAAAAAAAAAGCCTTGGTAATACTACTTTCGAAAAAATCCCATAGAAAAACTTAAAAGGACTAAGTCCCAAAACCTAAGATACTATTTTCCATAAAATTGCTGAAACATGGGTAGGGTGTAGTGCGACCCAACCCAAACATGACCACAAAAGCCCAAGACCTCTGTGGCTGTATCCCTACCGCGCCTCCCTTGTCTCCGGCTGTCGCCCCGCGACAACAACCCGAGGCAGCTCATGGAGAACGAAAGCATTGGCGACATGACCCTCCCGCCGCTGCCCCAATTCGACGGCGGGGGGCCAGGCGAGGACTACCACAGCAACGGCAGCAGCAGCAGCAGCGGCGACAGCGAGGACGAAGACGATGACGACGACGACGACGACGACTATGCGTACGATGGCCAAGGGTGGTCGGGCGATGAGGAGGAGCCCCTGGCGTACGGAGAAGAGAAGGTATCACCGGGAAAAAAGCGAAACGCGTGTCACGAAGGCGCACAGCAGACAGTGTTCATGTTTGGGCCGCTATTGTACACATGCTACGTTAGCCAAATGTTTGTGCTTGTTGTTGCTGTCCTCTCCTCACTGCTTGGTCAGACAGGTTTGCGAACAGCTGGAATCTGGATGTTTCTTTCCTGCTGCACCGCCGTAAATGCCGCCCGGCCGAATATCCACGCGTGGTCATGTTGGCAACAGTTTTGCGCGTTTCTATAGCAGTAAGGCGAGCTGCTTTCGTTTCGATAGGCGACGCTGTAAATGCCTGGCGATCTCCATCTACCCGCGAAGGACATGCAAGTAATTCATTCATGGGGCGCTGTGGTACATGTACCCCGTTCTCGCGTCGCCGTCGTGATCGCCGCTCACCCCGATGTCAGCAGAGCCACACGTATCTCCGGCGACGCCTCTACTGCCGCCTTGCTATCTACACACACGGGGGGGGTGTACTCATACTCGTGCATGCCGTAGTCGTTATTAATAGTCCATTGACCTCGGATCCCTACAAAGCCGGGACGGAGCACGCCGGGTTCTCGCCGGACCAGGACCAGGCACTCGGGAGGGGGGCTGAATACAACGCCGGCATGTGCCCGGCGCATCTACCGCCTGCGCTATTCAGAGGGGCCGGCGCTATTCACACTACAGAACCACTCGGTGATTCAGTCTGTGCCATGAATTTACCGGCGCCCATGTATGTTGGGTCACCGGCGTTTTTGAACCGGTTGAGGGCCCACTACTGTATGGACACGTGGAATGGCGGTAGAGGTAGAGCAGTCTTTTTGTGAAGCCCGGCCAATATGTTGAGGTATTGGGTATTGGCGATGCCGGAGGAGGCAGAAGGGACTGCTGTTTGCGTTTCGAGGCGTGTTGGTGATCCAAGTCTTTGCACGTGTGGCCCGCCTGCCGTGCTTGGTACGATAACTTTTCCCGGATGCTTTCAAAATTTTCAACACAACATGAACGCCTGGGTTCTCTCTGTCAAGAGTAACCTGATGGAGGGGTTTTGATAGCGTGTGTACCCTCGTGGTGCTGTCGTTTTTGTTGTCCCCTGTGGAAAATCACATGATATCACCCTTGGATGGCACGGGTCATGAGGGGCACTCGACGGAGACCAAGGACACATCAAATTTCAACATGCGTTCACAGAAGGTAGTAGTACTGAGCAGAGTCCGAAACGGCGTTTGATGTGAAGACGACAACAACGACAACAACAACAACAACAACAACAACAACAACAACAACGGTGCCTTGTTCACGGCGGCGGACGCGGGTTGCAGATCACTCTCAAAACTCATTCTCATGTTATCTGTCGAAAAAACGAAATGACCAACTCTCCGGTGGATCCTCGCCCTCAGACTTATGGCTTTCCCCCGTGCTACCACGTTGGCCCAGTCGTTACAACACCCCCCCTGTTCCGCCGAGATCTCCTCCTCGTTTCTCCCTCGCCCCCTCCCCCTCCCCCCTCATCCCCCTACAAAAAACTTCCGCCGCAACAGCATCGCGACTAACGACACGACACCGCTTGGTTCCGCCGCCGCCCCCGCCGCCGCCTTGCTTTTTATTTTTCGCACGAAAGGTTCCCGCTACCGCGTGGCCGGACACCGATGACGGCGACGACATCGCCGCGACGGCGGCCACGTTGGCCGGCTTTGGCGCTACCCACGCCGGTGCTGCTGCTGCTGCCGCCGGAGTTTCCGGTGCAAGGCGTAGACCGGTGGCGGCCTCCGCCACTTCCCGGAGGTCGGCGGGGCGCCGTCGAGAGCGGGCTGCGGGCCTAGCAGTCGGGGTGAGATGCATGATGAGAAGTCGCGGAAAATAGGCAAGCGCGCCGTGCAGAGATGTGTATGAATATTGGCGCTGTATGCATGTGGAACACATGGTGTTGACAGGCGGGCCTGTCGCACGCATACAGTCAGCCGGTTAGCGGCGGTCGATAGTGAGACACAACACACACCCCCGCGCGGTCGCCGCTTCAATTCCACGGTTGTACTGTAACCCCTTCTGTTCGACGTGGGCATGGTTTCTCTTCGATTTATTTTGAAATTCTCTTGCGGGATATTGTCGTCTCGTGGTGCCGTGTCAGCTCGGACAAGGGGGAGGAGGAGGAGGGGCTACCTGTGGAGGAACGCTTGAACAATTCTCGACGGAACGAAACATGCCTCCCCACCCCCCTCCCGCCCCGGTCCTCGATCCAGGCTACACTCGCAACGTGTCTTGTTGGACTGTGTACGCGCGCTTGAAGATTGTGTTTGTAATGGGCGGTGTGCCTTGACTTTCCATATTGATGACCGCTGCTACGCGTACTCAGCTGCTGCTGTCCCCCCCCCAACCCCTGTCTTATTCGCGAACCCCACCCGATAGTGCCTTGTTCGCGACCCTTCCCCGCCGATCCATCTCGTCCCGGTACAGTCGTCCCCGCTTTAAAGACACCATTTTTAAAGACACTCCCCGCTTTAAGGACACAAAAAACCTCAGAAACATGGTGCCCCGCAGATGTGAAAATGTAGGGGGGTAGGGTTTTCCACCATTCTACCCCCCCCCTAGAAAATGTGCTGCAGCACCTGTAGATCCTGGATCATCAACAGCGGTCTGCTGCAGCCGCACACTGCGTGTGGGTGTATGGAAAGATTCATTCCATCTGCTAGCGGTTCGTCTGCTGCCGGCTTGAAGCCATGCGGCGAACCAACGTGCCAGTTCAAATCTGCACTGGTGTCACTGGTTCATCAGTGTTTGTGCGAGCGACCCATGGACGCGTTTTGTGGTCGGGGCATCGGAGAGGAAGGCCACGGACAGCAGAGAGAGTGCTCGTTTTGACCTTTTGGGAGGCGCGGTGTCCTCTTTTTCGCTGTGCTTTCCAGACATTTTTGGTCTCTGTGTTTCTGCGTAACCTACATTTTCCTAGTGTCGNAACGTGCCAGTTCAAATCTGCACTGGTGTCACTGGTTCATCAGTGTTTGTGCGAGCGACCCATGGACGCGTTTTGTGGTCGGGGCATCGGAGAGGAAGGCCACGGACAGCAGAGAGAGTGCTCGTTTTGACCTTTTGGGAGGCGCGGTGTCCTCTTTTTCGCTGTGCTTTCCAGACATTTTTGGTCTCTGTGTTTCTGCGTAACCTACATTTTCCTAGTGTCGCTTTACAACCTTCGATATATTTCAGGTGCGGTAGCGAGATCTTGGGCAAGATATTCACGGGGAGGACAACGCCTAAAGAATATAATATAGAAAATAATTAAGCCCATATCAACACCAGCGCACTACCGTCGTGTACATGTACGATGCGTAGGTCGTAGACCACCATCGCTTTCAGCGTTTTGGTGGTACAGCAGTACGGGGAATTTCAAACGATGGTATGCAAGTATGTATTGCAGCACAATAGCAGCAGTGGTTGCGACCTTCAAATCACCTTGTGTCGTAGGTTTCAAACAACACCTCTTGTGGTCGCCTTTCTGCTGCGAATGCGCACCTTTTGACATATGTTTCGCCTTCATTGGCCCCGGGAACGGTGCGTTAGTGGCCCCGGAATTTGAAAGACACTTCCCCGCGTTAAAGACACTGTTTTTTAGGAAAAAAGTGGTGTGTCTTTAAAGCGGGGTCGACTGTAATGTGACAGTGTTCGAGAGTATGCTCGGCTTGATTTTTCGCCTAGAACATGGCCAGGGTGCGATGTTCAGGTATGCCTCTCTCACGATCTTGCGATGTGCCTACCGGTATGTTTTGGTCAGGTCTCGTCTCCGTCCGTGTCCCCTACCCGTCCCCCCGGTCGCCGGGGAGGAGGAGGAGGAGGCCGCACCCAGCGAAGCGGGCGCCGCGTGGACGAAGGGGTGAGAGATTGGAGAGGCAGAGACAGAGACAGAGACAGAGAGGGGGATCGTTGTTGTTGCTGTTGTCGTTGATGTTGCTGTTGTACTAAGCAGGAGTTCGCTCGCAACGACATCGGGTCTGCGCCACCCGCTGCACCAAGAACCCCTCATTCTTCACACGCCACCGATCCCCCCCCCCCCCCCCCCCCCCCCCCCCCCCCCCCCCCCCCCCNCCCCCCCCGTCTACGCCCAACCACGTCTACCAGCCACCGCCCCTCCAATCAGCGTCGGAGGCATCCGACGACGACGCCTTCTCCTCCGAGTTTCCGTCTTCTTCCTCTTCCTCGGAAGGACAGGAAGTAGGACGGCGTGAGCGAGCGCAGTCGTCGACCGGAGCGCGGGGCCCCGTGGTTCTGCCTGTAGGGTGCGGGGCCGAGAGCGGGGGCAGCCGCGGCGGCGGCGGCGGCGGCGGCGGCGGCGGCAGCAGCAGACTCGTTCCGTTTTCTCTGTCGGAGCTCGCGTGCGTGGCTTCGGAGACCGTTTCGGATGTGACTGGGGGTTCCGCGGCGAGCAGTCCCTTCAGGTATGGTTTGCGCGCGCTCACGCCTTGTCGTTTTCCTGCCTGTGTGCGTGCCTTTGTTTGCTGTTGTTGTTAGTGGCGGAGGAACACGGCTCTGTGCTGGTGTGTGCCTTTGTTGGTCTTATCATCGGCGGAGGACACCACGGCTTTGATTCGGGTTGTTCGATCATTGACGGTTGGTCGTTTTGAAAAGAACGTTGCGTGGTGTTAGCTGTGGTGTTCGTACTTGTTGTTCGTGCCGCGGTTTCCTCTGTCGTGAGTGGCCGTTGCTGATGTCAGGTCAGTCGTTGGCACGTTCCATGTAACTCTTTGTCGGTCGTACCGATAACCTCGCTCATGGTCGTCGTTCGTGGACGAGTCCAGGCGCTTGGCCTCCTTTTCACTTCCCTGCTGTATTGTGTTGTTGTTGTTTCCTGTCTATCGCCGATCGCTGTGTGCTGGTATTCCGAAACCACAAGAAGCACGCGAAAATCGTCTGATGTGATGTGTTGTGTACCGCTACAGCAGAACCGAGCCGTCATGCAGGAAGACACCTTTTGTTCCCATTGTTTCCGTTTTTGTCGATCCTTGGTCTACGCCCCCGAGACAAAACCGTCAGGCATCTTTTTTGGCCTCCACCCCGCCCTCACCCCACCTCCGCCCCCCTCCCCCCCCCTCTCCGCCGAAACAATGAAATGAAACAGGATCCAGAGTAGCGGCGGCGGCGGCGGCGACGACGATGGCCTCCCTCCGAGATTCCCCGCCACGGTAGCGACCGCCGCCGGTGGCGACGCCTTGTCTTCGCTGTCGCCGTCCACTGTGCCAGCGGCAGGAGCAGCGGCCCAAGCCGACCCGGCTGCGGCAAGGACGTCGGCCCCGGCGCTGCTAGAAGAAGCTGCCGACGGGCGGCTGAGGGTAACGCCGCGCCTGAGCGCGCTCTCGGCGGCGCGGTACGTTGGCGGTAGCACCGGCGGTGGCTGCGCGTCGGAGGGAGGTGCGGTCGTCTCTTCCAGGAGCAGGGTGGCTTCGGCTCTCGTGCTCCCGCTCGGCCGTAGCAGCAGCAGCAACGACGACGGTAGGAAGGGCTACGGTGACGGCAACCACGGCACCGACGATGCGGACGAAGACGCTACCGGACGCCGAGCCTGTGCGGAGTGCAACCCGGCCGGTATCAGCAGCAGCGGTAGCGCAGACGGCAGCAGCAAGAGCGACAACACGACCCTGTCCGCCGCCACGGGAGACGAAACCACGACCTCTCCGTCCTCCTCTTTCCTCTCCGCTAGAGGCCTGACGCCCTCCTCCCTCGTCCCTCTCGGCCCGCTCCTGGACTGGGAAGGAGGGAGCAAAGGCGGCGGCGGCGGCGGCGGCGGCGGGGCAAGCATGAATATGAGCGCGTCCCTGGCCGGTTTCGCCGGGTACAAGTCCGCTCTGCTGGAGGCACGGCGAGCGGCCGCGGCAGAGGAACAGGGGGAGTTCTGGCAGAGGCGTGCCAGCTCCGCAGAGAAGGCCAAGGACCAGCTCCAGAAGGTGTGAATGAGGGTCAGACGCCCTTTTTTTGTTGAATGATGCCTGTTGGCGGTCAGATATCTGGGCACGAGCGTCCACTCTCATGCTAAGAAATCCTATGCTAAAACCTAGGTCTGTCTCCCTATTCTGAATAGCGCCGGTGTCCGATAAAGTGCCGGTTTTATTCCGCTTTCACAGAGTGAATCACCAAGGCCTTCTGTACGGGGAAAAGGTGACTGTGTGTGGTGTCGGCCGAGTGTCGTGATACAGAAGGCCAAAAGGCCACACACCGGCCCTACGCAGGGCCCCCCGCTACATACGTATACTTTCGAATCTTCGCACAGCACAGTGGCGTCTACGAGATAAGAAAAAATCGGGATGACAGAAAGCACGGATAATATGGGGATCAGAAGTGTTTGTCACGGCTGTGATATTTTTGTACGCTAGAGTACTGTGAGGTCGTGAGAGAAAGCCGGATATTCGAGAAGTATTGCGGCATGTCCAACCCAGTCTTTTTATCGTAGCCGCCGCTGTACCATCTACATAGAGAGCACGTGCGATGGTTCGAGACGCGCTTGACAATTCTGTTGATGTGGTCGGCGCATGTGTGCGTCTCTTGCAAGCTGGTGTATCTAGCAAGTTGTACATGGGTGTCAATGGCACATAGGAGTTCGCCGTACAGACGGTAGCGGTAGCGCTTGCATGCGTGTCCCCGTGTTTTGCGAAGGGGGGGTCATCAATCCTCCCCTGTCTTCGATGTGGATTTCGTGAGTCCCTTCCCAACGCACCCTCTTTTTTGATCCACGTGCATCCGCGGCTTGTCGGATGCGAAGGAGGCGGTATTGTGGAACTGGGCACGTGTTGTCTACGGTAGTATCTTCCTCGCATTCATTGATTATTTGTTTGCTTCGTGTCCTTGCTTGTTTCCAACCTGTGCACTGTGCAACAACAAATCGCCTTATCCCTCTCGTCGTCTTTTGACACCGATTTTGCTTTGTGAGGATTCTTTCTTTTTCTTCATCGTGCCGGTTGTTTTTTTTTTTCTTTTCTTTTTTTTCCGCCGTTTGTTTTTGTTTGCCCTTGCGTCGGCGTACCGCAAAGGTGGTGGCCCAGCAGAAGGCTCAGATCGCCGAGCTGCTGGAGCGGTGCGCATCGCTCGAAGACGAGAGAGCGGCGCCCTCCGCCGCGGCATCGCCCTCCCACGGGGATAGAACGACCCCGTCCCCTACCGTCGTGGGCGAACAGGACAATGCCACCGCCGGAGGCGGTGCTACGTCACGTACCGTAGCTGCTGCCCACAGTGTCGGGCGTGGGCAAAGGCGGGGGTCGGGGAGAGGGAGAATCGGGACAGCGGAGGAGATGGGAGAAGGGAGGGCTGCCTCTTCTGTTGTCGTTGCTGGCCGTGCTGCTTCGGGGGGAGAGGAAGAGAAAGGGGAGGGGGGAGGCGTTGGGGAAGCGTTGGCGTGCATCGGGGGCATCGCGTTTACGAGGTGGGGAATCGGAGGGGGTGGTGTTGTCTTTTATCTGGCGTGCTGTTATCATGTGTGCTGCTGTCATGCGCGTTGTCGTCATGGCTGCTGATCATGTGTCATGTTTTCATGTGTGCTGTTTGTCATGTTTTCGTGCTGGTGTGGAAGCCGTTGAGCGCATGCCGGTTGCTATCGTTTCCCCTGTCATTTTCTGCTGTTGCTTTCCCCATGCCTTACTCGCAATACCATGAGAATCCTCACAATCCTGATGTCCAACCCCCCCCCCCCCCCCCCCAGTTGTTACTTTCGTTTGCGTTACAGTACCTTTGGCAACGAACGTTCTGGCAGACGGTCAAGGGCTCCTCCGCTGCAGGCTGCGCGCCCTGGTCTTGCGCGGCCTTTAAGTGGGAGCGGCTGCANCCACACCGGAGGGCAACTTCTTGGCGTTCAACGTCGGATGCCCCCGACACTTCCTCTCTAAGGAGAGCCAAGACCTGGTGGGCAGGGACGAGCACTTCCGCTCCTATTACGTGCTCGGCCGGATCATCGAGATTCGGGTGAGGGGCGCTTTTGGATGGTCGACTACAGCAGGACAACCACCGCGTACACGGCTAGTAGCAAAAGGCCACGTCAGTCATGTCAAACTGTCTTTTTGCCCTAATAATTCCAACGGTAACCCCGTGCCCGCCGTCCGAAAACCGGTGGTTGGGGCAGATGTCAGACGGAAGATTTTCCCATGGGCACAAACGCATGGTGTCCTACATTGCCACACACGCTGCATCGCTCTCAATTCCGGCCAATCAAACATTTGTCATGACGTTCGTTTTGTCATTCTTTTTTTGCCTGCTCGCTCAACTGTACTTCTCCCCCCCTCCCCCGCCCCCAAATATATATATATATCGATTAAATATAGTACAAAGGATATATACAAATGTTTCCACCCCCGTATTTGCTCATTATGCTTCACACCGAATTTCGATTTTCACCGACGACGAACCGCCCCTTCTCTTCATTCCCTTGTGTGTGGCGGATTGTCGCGAACAACGTGCATTGTTTCCTCACCGTCGCGCCCCGCCGACGCGCGCGTGCACCCAGGACCAAACTTGCGAGGAGGAAAACCCGTACAGCCTGCCGGTAGGACAGTCAATCATGGTCATGTCGGTGGAGAGCATCACTCCGGACCTTCACCGCGCCGGCGTTATCCCCTGCATGTAATGAAAGAACAAAAGAAAATGATCAAGCATGGGGCTTCCTCTCTTTTGTTGGGTGTTTTTGTCGTGTGTGTTGGATGGGCGTGCGTGCTCATGTTTTGCGTGCCTTAACGGTTTCTAGGCAGTTGACCGCCAGGGGGGCTGGTTTCATTTGCTTTAGATATCTTAACCGCACCAGCGCTCTGACGGGCGTTGGATACGCGTACATAAAAGATTGTATATCCACACGGGCGTGAAGAAAAAGCGGGGGGAGGGGGTTGCTGCATGCACTCGTTTGTTTCACCACGCCTATCATTTGTGAATACTTTCCGGTGGTGTGGGTGTGCCGCTTCACTGAGAGGCCAAGTCGACAGAGCGCTCTCGCTGCTCGGTGCTCGATGATGCCGGGAGTACCTCGGCAGGTTTGTTGCGCCTTGTGGCCGAACCCCGGGAACCGGAATTGGAGGGCGTCTCGTGGAACCCAGCGAGGTCCAAACGCAGACCGTGCATGCATGTTTCGGTGAGCTGCTGCACATGACAAGGTGCCCGGAGCAAGCCAGCGCACGCACTCTGCCGGAAGTTTGGTGTTTGTCGCCACCAAGAGCCGGTCGTCCATCGGACGGCTGTGCCTCGTGCTGGTTCGCATGGCGGCGCGTCGCAAGGCGTGTCGCAAGGCGCGTTTGGATGAAGATATTGTAAGTATTGCTATCGAAGCGTCTCTATCGTGTAACACAGCATGTTCCAAAGCGTCCATTGTGGCTGATTTGTATTCGTGGAGAGCGGGGGGAGATTTGCAGTCCCAGCATCATAGCTGCTGCTGCTGCTGCTGATACGGTCTGTTGTTGTTGCTGCTGCTGCTGCTGCGTGTGTGTGTGCGGAGCGGTTGGTGTTTCGGGCGAAAATCTCTCGCGGGCAGTTAGTTGTTTCTGGAGGGCCACCCTCAACTCATTTCATCGGCACAGCTCAAGGTTGCAGCCTGCTGCCGCTGCCGCTGTTGTGCATATATTTCACTAGTAGCTGCGGTTTCACACACAAGTGTTGCTTGTACGTGATGTACCCGCCTGTACACGAGGCTATTCGCTGGAATTGTTTGTTTGCCCTCTGGCCAGCGGCACCAGCGGCGGCAGCGTTTCTCATGGGCTCATCGATACATTTCGACTGTCCAGGTCGAAGCATCAGAAAATAGAGAGTGAATTTGCGGACAAGATTCGCCAGCAAGATTTGTCCGCACACCGTGCGTGTTTTTCGTATTTTCCATGTATTCGCCGCTGTATTTGACCTACAAGTAGAGATGTTTTTGTTTGTTGTTGGTGGCAATTTCGTCCTGTGTTGGGCTGAGTTTGGTAGCTGTCGCCGACATTCGTGGTACGAGATGTCTGGGCTTGTTACTTGACGGTGTGAGCCGGGCGCGGGGATGGTTGCGGGGGGACAGGGGTGGAGGGGGGGGGGGGGGTACCGCATGCACCTGGTAAATGTAGCTGTGCCAGCGTTGACGGCATGCATGGGGCGGGAGAGGCGCGACAAATTCGTTGAAGAAGCGCAGGACAGTATTCGGCCACGTGCGATCGTTCGTGCTTCTATTTCGTTGGATGTGCTAGGATGCATATTCACCTCCTTGCCCTCGGGTGTACGCATTTCACACATTGACATGTGCAAAGATGCCGGAGGGCTTGGTTCGTTCAGGCTGTAGATTACCTCCGTTACGGTTTGTCGCGGGTCTTGTGATACTACGTCCACACGCAAGCCAAAGACAATACTGCTGTACATTGTTGAGCCTGCTTTGACTTCGTTTATGCTACGAATGATGCTAGAGTGCGTCAGGTGGGGCGGGGAGAATGTATGTGATGTTTGATGACCTGTGTTCTGCGGATGCACAGTTGAGGTTGCTGGGGTGGGATTCGTGTGAGAGATGTGCCCCATTTGCTTCCCGTACGCAGAGACGAGGGAAACGTGGCAAGAAGAATGAATGTGGGAGAAGAAGCTACATGCACCGTGTCGTGCGTGGTCGTTTTTTCGTCCGGCACCCAATCATACAGGGAAGCGTGGGCGGGGAATCGTCAGACCGGGGCAATGTTTCCCCAACTGACCGGCAGCTTAAGCATACGTATGTTAGTGTATTTGTGTTTTCATCCCATTTATTATGGTGACAGTCTCCCCAGCGGTTTATGAGGATACCAATAAACCACCGGGGCGACCGGTTCCATATGCGTACATTCGCTCTCATTCTTCCAGGCGTTCATCGCGAAATCATTTCATCAAGCGGCGAAAGAAAGACATTCACCCCCTCCAAGCTATCACACAATGAACACTCACCCCGAGGCCTTGTGCTTTCATAATTACCGTCGCTGCTCTCAATAGTAAATAGTGCTTCTTCACACATCATTAGGCTCCGCAGCAACCAAAAGCCCCAAAATTCCGATCTACATCATATCTCGTTTTCCAAGACCACAGATTTCTTTGTTCTCGGCTCAGCTATCCTCTGCAATTGACCGCCACCAGCGGCAAGCGCCGGGTGGGTCCCGACACCTCCCTTGCCCGAAGCCATTTTCGACAAACAAGCTACTTCACTTCACCTCTTACAGGCAGCGAGAATGATTGTGGGTGGCATCGCAGCACACCTGCTGATGCCCACTTGACGGGGGCATGGCTCGTGTATCGGAGGACGGGGCGTCTCTCATGCCTTCGCAACTAGGCCATTGACCACGCATCTTCGGGAGGACGGAGCATTGTCCCCAACAGGACCGAAAATCACCGATGGACAATCGTCTCTATGGGAGGTGGCCATCAAAACCGTACGTGCGTTCGCGATCAAATTGGCAGGCAACGCTGAGAAAAAAAAGAGTGGGTCCTGTGAATAGATGAACACATTGTGTGTTCAAGATGCCCTGGAGCGTGTTGTCCTGGCCTCCCTCCTCCTCAACACAAATTGAAGATGTTTCACTACGTTTTTATCTTCCCGATGAAAAAGGGCACGCAGAAGGAGAGAGAAACAAGAAGATCATGCAGCAGCAGACTTCACACATCGGCACATCTCTCCGCAAGAAATTAGACAGAACAATCAGCAGCAACAACAACAACAGCAGCGCACCGTGCGTCACCAAACCGCGGTGGTTCCTGGTTGTGGCAAGAAATCCCTGGGCTTTCGACGGATGGTTGGTTACCCAGGCGGACGATACATACCACTCACGTCCGACAGTTCGCACGCGCTGTGCCCGACACTCCATCACACGTAGGGATACATACCGCGAGAGGGCCATGCTCTTCATTCACCCACGGCGTGGTTTGAGAATGAAGACACCGTCACTCCAGCTGCTCCTACTCCACACCTCGGACGAAAGACGACAGAGTGAAGAGACTGCCAGTCAAAGACAATGATGCTGCCAACAACCGTTTAAGCTTAACATCACGGCGCTGGATCGAGCATGAACAAAAACGAAATAAAATACCTTGCGATGGGCGTTAACCTCGCGGCGACACCGCACGAGCCCACTATTGTTCTCACAGACACCCCGCAAGACACAGGCATGTTCGTCCAACTCGCCGAGTCGTCCGTTCCCTCCTGGTCTTCCGCACAAAGGGCCGTCGCTCACGAGAGGCTTGCCTCGTTTGGCGTGCTCACCCTCCGCTCCAACGCCCACACACCACCCCCGTTCGTCCCAAAAGCACTACAAGATACCGTGTGCCAGCAACAGGGAAAGGCTCCAAACTGTTGGGGAAACAAAATAACATCCCCCGAAGGACCGACCGCCCACGATTGAAACTACTCCGTGATTCGTCGCAAAACAAAAAGTACTCCCCACGAGAATTACATTAGGCCAAGAGGCAATTTGTCTTATACGTTGTTTTCCCGAAAGGTGACGTTCCGAAAGGTGACGTTATCGGTAGACCAGGGACTTTCCACCCAGGGCCGAAGTTCCTTTTCAAAACAATGTGGCCAATCTGAAAAGTGGGGTTCCGCCGCTGCAACATTCCTGGACGCGGCCGCCTCATACTGCCGCCGGTTCCCATTCCCAACTCCGAAAAAAATGGCCGTTTCCTTTAGAAACCGCCTCGGGGTTTAATTTTTTTCGATCGTCGTCTTGGACGTCAAAAATTCACTCGGCCCCCCCTCTGGGGACGTGCGCGTGTCGCAGGCGGCGGCGTCGCGGGTGACAAGCGGCACGCGATGGAGAGCTTCATCTCCTCTTCTTTGACTGTCTTGTCGCGCCCTTCGCCGCGGCGGCGGGCGGGGCGGCGTTGCCGGCACCCCGCCCGCCGAAAACCAGCCGGAAGCACTTGAGCAACACCCACAACACCAGGCGGACCGGGAGGATGAGGATGCGGAGCGGCAGGACCAGCACCCACAGGGCGAGGCGCAAGACGGTGCGCAGCTGCGTGTGTGTGTGGCGGGGCGGGTTTCGGATGACGCAGCAAGAGCAAGAGATGACGGTTTCATTTTCAGACAAGAGCAAGAGGTGACGGTTTCATCTTGTCGCTGCTGTCGGTACCAAAAGGACTTCTTGGCACCGTGGGTATGTTGTACATGTTCCAATGTTGTTGGTGGAGTGTGCCAGCAGAGCGCAGCCTTTTCGTAGCCCCCTTCGGGACCGGGATGATGACACACAAGCGGAGGGTGTGTGGGGGTATCGGGTAGGTGGTGGTGGAGATATTGCGCGAAACATTAGACCAGCAAGTCATGTACGAGAAGCTCTTCACAGAAAACCAATTGCAGTCGAGAGCATACGAACTACGTCGTCCAAACGACTCAAGACCGCATAGCCAATTGATGTTCTACACGTGTGCCGGTGCGACCTCATTTCGTCCGTTTCGCCAACGTATTCCGTTCAAACGTCCACACACAAGTGTACCTCGTGGGTGCCTTCGAATCCAAAATAATATTAACAACCTCGAGAGAACGGATCTGCGTCACCTCGGGTGCGCGCGCGCACGCCGAAAACGATGGACGAAATCTTTCGTAATCTCTTTTTCCCTTCCGGCCTGACATTCCCGTCTCTTTTCCGCAACACGTTTTTGGGGCAGGGGGACTCGGACCTGTCACGGCAGGAACATCCGGGAGAGAGCACGGTACGGTATTCCCAGGAAAAAACGGGGTGGACGCTACCAGACGGAATGGAAATCGGAACCAGCCCTCTTCTCACCACTGGCCAGATGAAGTACTTCACGGTGCTTCCCCCAAAGTAGACAACCAGCGCCACGACCACCATCGCCAACAAAAGGTTGTTGACGTACCGGCACGTCTGAGGATACAGCCGGAGGGATGGAGTCAAGCGTGCAAGGCCAGTGGCGGGGTAAGGTTGATTGGGAGCAGGGAGCAGGGAGCAGGGAGCAACAGCGTAGCCGGCACTATCACCACCGCCGTCACGTAAGAAATCCCACCACGGGGCGAAAAGCACGGGGCGTAGGAGAGCGTCAAAGCAAAGATGGGGCTTGTGAGTGCCAGGCTGACCGGCTGAATCCCTACCACGTCATGAATGCACAACGCGATACAATACGAAACAGTAGGACATGTAGTATTGCTTCACTCTTCTGCCATGCTGTAGGCATCGCGCAACATGGACACAAGACCGGCACGTCGAATACACCTAAAGAACCTCTGCCACACCTTACGAAATATCCAAACGCTCACATATCTCAATTACGTTTTTTTCCCATGATAGCCCGGAATGTCAACTCATCTGAAGCGTACACGCATGGGTATTGTGTCCATGTGAAATCTCACATTATCCATCCTATGACTACTTTTAAGTCTACCGCAACGTCCACTCTTTTATATGCCACAAGAAAATTCTCAAGAAAATGCTGGCTCTGGCTCACCTTTTCCGCCTCTTGGTCGGGCATTCCCCACCTCACCAGAACCGACACAATCCACGCTGCCGACTCATCGCTCTTGGTCTGTGCCGCCTGCCAAGCCTCGGAAATCTTCGCTTTCCCGCTCGACCATTTCTTGAACGAAAAAAAAAATAATCAAAATACAGCGATGACGGAGTTACATGGTCGACGCCGTTTTCGATCATCAAACAACGTCGGTGCCGGCGAACTTCGGCGGGGGGGGGGGGGGG